CTCATCCGCCCCTACACACCTGCCCGGCGCCTCAGGTCTGCGGATCAGACATTATTAGAAGTACTGTCAGGTTCATCAATTTGACATTCAGAAATAAAACACAAGGAGGAGACAGGAGATGCAATTCTGGTACCGGGGTGAACGAGGAGAAGCGTTAGGTTTCAGTTCTCTGCACGTCACCCCAGGATCTCCCCCCTCTCCCCCTCATTTATTGGGAATCGACGACATAGGTGTGTCCAACCTAAAGGGTGAGGGCTGTTGAAGACACACTGAACTTGTTTGACTATGTGAGTGTAAACTCCGTACATGTGTGCAATTGTTACAAAAACATCAAGTTGCAGCTGGTGTTGACAGTTCCGTCCACGTCCGACCTTGCTTCTGTTTAGTCTTAATACTTATCTTTCCAACCACTTTCTCGGAAAGGTGGTTGCGTCCCTCAACTGCCACACAGTGCACAAAGCAGTCTTGATTAAGTTGATGTACCTTACAAGTCCGGTCAGGAAGCGCCACCTGTTGACCAGATATTTCCTTTTCGTAATTTTTTTTTTTTTTTTTTTTTTGTCGTGTTATGAATTTTGAGAGGTTTGCTGTTGGCCTGCGTGAAATTATAACGAGATTCCGCACCAGTGGTTTTCCTGAAGAATCCTGCTGGTCTTTGGTGCGTCGCAGCAGCAAAGTTCTGGTCAGGATGTTGAGTCATTCCCTGCCTTGAATGGAGCCATCGTCAACTTGCGCCTTCCATTGTATGTACTCATCAAATGGAGCACAGCGCAGAACCCTGGGTGGAGCAGCAAAAAAAACCTCAAACATGGGATTTTACACGGCAGGTTTATAATACAGACCAATGTGTAATCTGGCTCCGAGCTGGATCACATTTATTTCTTGACATTGGCTTTGGATCAAGGAAAAAAAGCACATTTTGTTCAAATTGGATTAGATTAGACCAGTGGTTCTCAATTATTTTCTGTCATGCCAACCCTGGGTGGAGCAGCAAAAAAAACCTCAAACATGGGATTTTACACGGCAGGTTTATAATACAGACCAATGTGTAATCTGGCTCCGAGCTGGATCACATTTATTTCTTGACATTGGCTTTGGATCAAGGAAAAAAAGCACATTTTGTTCAAATTGGATTAGATTAGACCAGTGGTTCTCAATTATTTTCTGTCATGCCCCCCCCCAAGAAGAAGAAAACATCTCGCGCCCCCCTTTGTGACTATAAATACCTGTAGTATCATTTGTCTATAAAATTGTTGTAAGTACACCTCTGCATAACACTGTATCCTTATTAACGTATAAGAGAATAAAAAAGAAATATGGACCAACTTGCAACAAAGAATAGCTTTATTAACTATAACAGAAAAGAGTTAAAGTGCATCTGAAATTCAAAAGTAAAATTAACTCAACTCAACTGTATTTATAGAGCACTTTCAAACAGCCATCGCTGCATACAAAGTGCTGTACATGGAGCAATTCAACATATACAACAATGCCAAAGAATACAAGTGAGTTTTGAGACGGGTTTTGAAGATGGGCAGGGAGGAGGCTTGCCGAATGTTCAGTGGGAGGTCATTCCAGAGAGAGGGACCAGAAACAGAAAAGGCTCGATAATTAAATCCTTAATTTAACTATAAATATTTTTTGACTAACCATGTCAAACTATACAAAACTGAAAAATAAAATTACATAAAATCAATAACTAATAATGCTTTCAAACTAATCACCAACATTATCTCAGGAGCACAATATTAAAACAACTTTAACCAGCTAAAAAAATATATACAAAATAATTTGTGCTGATTCTTTTTTTTTTTTTATCAAAGATGATGTCTGGATTAATAGCTACAAGTAGCAGTCACAAAACGGGATGATTGTTGGCAATATTCGGCACGTTTTCTCTGAAAAAAAAACTCTTATCAACGAGATTGGGGTGTAATGTCTTTAAGTGACGCCTTAATTCATTTGGCTTCATGTTGTCCGATGTCTTTCCTCCCACCGTAGTCACACTGAAGCCAACCCTTACGAAAGAAAAATATATTGGAATATATTGGAAGATATCATTCAATACATGACATAATATATTTTCATATATGGGATTTTGTATTTATATTTTCTAATATGTTTCAATATAGGTATCGACCATTGACTGTTAAAGGAATCTATGAGCAAAATTGTATCATTTTTAAAGTTTCATAAATAAAATGTACATTATTTTTATCATTACTATATTTTTCACAATAGCCTGTCTTTTATTTTACAACATATTGCAATATGTAATCATATATATTTTTTCATTACATGATAGACTGCATCCTACCCCCACATGAGTTTCATGAGTAAACATAAATGTTTTGAAAAGTATTTTTTCCTTTTATTGTTCTATGTCTAGTGTTCTCATGCTCAAATAATAAAATATGTGTATAAAATAGTGTATCCTTTGAAAGAAAATACAATGATGACAAAAAACAGAAATGGTATTACAAAAGTAGAATTTATTTTGGGAGTCTACAAAATTGGCATGCACTTTGCCATGACATTTTCAATCCTCCACACTGGATCTTGGAGGTATGCATGCATAGAGGCTTGCATATTTTGGCAGATCAATGAGCATACATTTTCTGTTGAACAGTGTGACATCAAATATCTGTTTCCTGCCACGGAACTTCCTTTTCAAACAAACTACATTTTCAACACGAATCAGGGTACTATGTGATCTATCATACTGTCTCCCAAAAGCAAAGCACTTTCTGTTACCGTGTTGCTCTACAACAATGTAGTAGTATACAGTGATGATGTTTCCATTCTTCATCAGTACAGTGAAGCTGTTTCTTTTCATTACCCTTGTGAACTCTTGGGAGTAATAAAGCTCTCCGTTGACCAGAACTCGCTTAAATATTTTCACAACTGTTCCTGTTGTGACTGCAAGTTGCTCTTTCATGACCAGTCGCTCTTCACTTGACAGTTCTCGACAATAATGCAAACCAAGGGTTACAAATTGATCACCAACTCTATCTAACTGCTTCATGCTTTTTTTGCCAGTTAATTTACTAAAAAGCTGGATGCATTCGGGAACAGCATTTCTCAATGCATTATTTCTTAAAAGAGGCAATACTTGTCT